ACTGAAGGACAGCTGCCCAGAACCGTGAAGTTGGACGGAAAATTGTAAACGTGGTCAAGGCTCTCCCGGAGCTGTAGAACCAAAAGATGATGATGACACTTGTTTTCAATGATGTACGAGAAAATTGTAACTGAAATAGCCCGTACTTGGCGCCCCTATTACATTGTCTTAGATTTAGGATGCTCTTTTTATACAATATGAAAAGGTTTTGAATGACAGTATATTCGCCATTTTTAACGAAAAATCTCCTTTTATTTTATTACAATTTTAATTAATAGAGCTTTAAAATTAAATTTTACTTAATTTTTCTGTACAGTAATTTCAAATTTTTTTAATTTATTCAAGATTTTCTGAACTTTCGCATTGAATTTTCTTTATTATTCTTTAGTTATTAATTATTCTTTTGATGTCATATTTATGCGACATAAAATACCATATTATGTGTAGGTATAAAAATTATACAACCATTATGGTGACGATACATTTTTTTAAAAAGGAATATTTGAAAAGGATCCCCACAGTACCTATATTATTTTATATTTTTACTTTCAGAGTCATAATTGAAGCCTTTTCCATAATATGGCAATTCGTATTAAAAGTAAAAATAGAATACTTTTTTTCTTTATGTGCCGCGTATATGTGATATATTCAATTTTTTCGTAAATGAAATCAATGGCGCAAAAATTAACATAAGATGGGAAAAACAAAAATGATTTTCTTTTTTTCTTTACGTACTTCTTCACAATAATAAACCTGAATTTTGTAAAAAGAAATCAATTAATTTTGCTTTCTTGAGAATGGAATAAAAGTTGAAGGAAATACAAGAAGTAAAACATCAATATTTAAGTACCTTTACCTATACAGCCTGCCATGAGACGTTATTATAGCTGTTGTTTGTGTATATATGGTAGAGACGCAGGTGCGTTAAATATAATTGAATGTTGAGCTATAAAAAAAAAGGAATATTTTTATTTAGCATCCTTAAATAGCTCTATTATAATTAGTTACTTTGAATTTTTAATAATTTATGATAATTTACATTTTCATTGAACAGATTTCGAAGAGTTTTCAATAATAAATTGTCCTGTTAAAGGAAACTCATCTTTAGTAAATTTCATTTCAATATAATTGAGCAGATTATTAATAAAGAATAACGGCTATAATGGTATAACTTGTAGCGTCAGTTTGACTACCGATATAGTTAAAAAATAATGTGGCAGATATTAAATAGGTGTTCTTTTGCTACAGAATACTGAAAGAAGTGGGAGCCCAGATTTTCTCTTCATACAAATAAATAGTTTAATCTTTGGCAGTTTCTAAAGATAGATTTTATAAGATAGAGTTGAAATTCTTGGCTCTTTATTTTCTGTTTTTTTTTTTATATAATAAATTAGAACTGTATTCCAATTTTTAAGAAAGAGCTCATCAAAGCAGAAGAAAATTTTTCAATACCAAGAAAATGTCCTTGCAAAAAATTTATTCAAGTTATTGGTTGATAAAATAGCAATGTGGTGTAGGCATACATCATTTTTAGAAAATAATCAAAAAAATTATGCCTTTAATATATTTTAAGAATGAAGCGCTAAAGAAGACAAAATTAATTTCTTCTCAATAAAAAATAGAAGCAGAAAATAGATTAATCAATAACAGCGAAGTAAATTCACTACCCCCGCCCACAAAACGTATTTTTTTCCATTTTTCTGTACACCCTTTTTCCCTTATGGCCTTTTCCTGTACAAGTAAAGACAAAATTTATACTTGAGTTCACCAATATTTGAATAGAATTACAATTTTTGATTTTTCATTTTCAAATTTAAAAATGATTAAAAATCAATTTTACATTTTTACTTTAATAAAATATTCGGTGTAAGAATACTTGTGTATATTCAAACTATGAAAGGTCATTGAATAATTCAATTCACAATTATTGTATAACAGTTTGTATTTTGAAGGTATACTTATATATATTTCATTTTATTGGTAAACAATTCGATTTTAGTAATCCAATGTTAGCGAAAATTTTCCTTGTCAAATTGTAAAACAAATATTATTTTTTATTAAAAATTAAAATTCGACTGAAGAGCATAAGGTACTTAATGCATTATTAAGTTATAAAAAGGAATTTTCCGTAAACCAATGCACATGGAAACTTGAACTACGCATAAAATTTTACGCACAAGGATTTGAAATTATAAAAGCTTAAGTACCAAAAAGGAACCTGATTCTTGGAAGAAAATAATTAGAGCTATTAAAAATACGAAACGATAATTAGACTGGGAATAAATTTTTCCTTTTACTGGTTCCAATAATATGCTTGCTCGAAATAAATTTAGCTAGGTATTGTAGTATTATGAGTGCCGGTATCAAACTATATTATAAATGCGAGTATTAAACAAATTTTGTCATCATCTAGCTTAATATATTATAGCTATTGTTGGAAGTTTTGACTTTTCTTAACGAGAATCACAGAAGTTCGTACGAATTTTTGTGCATATTCGGCTAACCTAAAAAACTAAATGTTGAAAATTTTAATTCGTCATTAAGACCATAATATAGAAGGAGTCGGAGGAAGGACATCTTTAAAAAATTTTTAAAAGTCTTAACAAATCATTAATATTTTTTCATTGTCTTACGGTCATGAAACACAAAACTAATAGAAATTGTAAGCTTAACAGTTTTTGAATGAATAATATAATAAGCTGCCCATTTCCAAGAATTAATAGCAACTAATGAAATATGTTGCTATTCTTAATATTAAATATTGGCCTTAAACCATACAATAATTAATCATTTAAAAAATTCTGTTTTAAATATTCCGAGGATTAAAAGTAAACATGCCTAAAGGATATTCCAATAAGCTCCAATAATGGAGTTATTGTTTAAGTTTCAAATTATTCTTTTTAAAAAATTTCATTTTTCTTCTATTAATTTGTGTTTTTTTTTATGTAATAAACAAAAAACCCTTAAAAAAAAAGGACTAAATTTTTTTTTTCCAAAAATTTTACAAAGCAGAAAATTTCTTCATTATCTTCTTGTTCCTTTATCTAATCTAAAAGTTTTAATTAAATGTCAAAAAGTATTTATCATGTAGGTTGTTTCTTCTCTGTTTCTGTTTCATATAAAATGAATGATTTTTACCAATTTATTTAAAATAAAATGACATTTTTTATATTTAATCTCTTAAATGTTAATGAATTTCCATTAAAATATTACAGAAAAAAAGAAAAAATTTGCATTATCAGAAAATTTGAAAAAAATTTCCATTAACAATAATGCTCTTGATTAACGTCCAAAAATTTTTCTATATCAAAATTTTCACAAAATATTATTGACATATTTAACCTTTAAAAATTAATTGAAATCCGCAAAATCGAAATTAAGAAAAATGGGGAAAAATGGGGTTTGAAATTTATTGTAGATGATTTTATCCTTTATTTGTTTGCCTTCATAAAATCTACAGAATATCAAAACCACGTAAAATTATTTAAAGAATTTTGAAAACAATTCTAGTATAGGATATTCTTCGGATTAAACTAAAATAATAAAAAATTTTAATATATTTACAATTATCGTACGATTATGGCTAATATATTCTCAACAAATTTGATTTTTACCACCACACCATAATGTTACTAGCATCTTTCGATTTAAAATCGAAAGCACATTTCACCTTGATAGTCTTGTTAATGACAATGCTAAAGTAATTCTTATAGTCTAAACTCTAAAAATATCTAAAAATAATAAAAATATTTTTCTCCGATATTTTTTATTATAAGAATCCATTCAGTATAATTTTAAAATAGTAGAAATGAAATTTTTGAAATCCTGTACAAGGACATGTTATGTATTTTATTAAATTATATGTTGAAAACATTTTGCACTGTGACGTGGTTATATTGGATATAATATTGAATAGATTCTTTTGTATTCAACCTGTAATATAATTATATTATATTATATTTGTATAGCAAGTGACATAATGTGTTTGTGTTATATTGTGTATTTTGGTACAGAAAAGAGTCAAATGTAAACTGACATGTGAACTGATTTGAAAAGACAACTAAATTTTAAAATAAACATGGAACTTAAACTTATAAGTATAAATTTTAATTCTATAAAGCATTTTCTATTATAGAATAAAATTTTATTAAAAATTTTTTCGAAAACCCCATTCAACTAACACTTTTCAATATAGTTGATATTGAAATTAGAAAATTGAAGTTTTGTAAATGGTTTTCAGTAATATTCTAGCTCGAAATAGAAATCGATAATTTGTATCATTAGATCAGAATTTAATACATGACGGAAGCATTTAATATGGATAAGTAGAGCGAATTATTTACAATAATATTTCAGTATTAGTTTATTAGAATATTAGGCTATTTTAAACTACAATATCACTCATAAATATTAAGGAATATTTGGAAAATAATATTAACTCCACTATATTATCTTTAAAGAAAATCTTAGAGAAGTTGGAAACTCTTATATCCCATATTAGTTCTTGCTAATAATTAGCTTCATCAGTACCGGTTCTACTATATATGTGAAGTAAGCATTTGCAATGGGCGCTGAAAAAAAGGGGCGGAATTGAAATTTTAAAGTAAACTAAATTTTATTCCAATATACATATCTTGCATTCAGCATGATTACGTTTCGAGAAAATGATTTAATATGCGTAATCTGCAATTTTTATTATATATTGTTCATTGCGCTGAAATGGGGGCAGGACGCTTATTTTGAAAACCGCGTAGAGTACAGAATAATTTAGCACCGATCCTGGTCTCATATAGCCTCATTTTGGCTTATATGCTTCTCGTGACTCATATATTAGTTTATTGACAGCAATTTAAACTTGTTACAGAAAATTTCTTCTATTCTGAAGTCGTTTATTTTATTTAAATCCTTTTATAAATTCGTGAAATTTAACTAAACAACGAATACACACTATAAATAAATTAAATCATTTTAATTTAATAATTTTTTTTTTTGTTTTCCAGCTATATTTTGGAATGTCATGTTTAATAGCTTCTTCAAATTTAATCGAAGAGAAAAGATATTTAAAAGGTGAAACAAATAAACCGACAACAGAAACTTTTATAGAAAATGGAACAATTTCTCCAAGTAAGTATCTTAATAATTCTAAGTTAATTTTAATTTAAAATAAAAATATAGAAACTAAAATTAACTAAATTCATGATAATTTTTCGAGTATGTCGTTATGTTCTAACTTCTTAATTATGTTATTGTTCTTAATTGCATAAGGTAACACTTGTACAATATTCACATGAACAAATTTTTGGTACCTCAAAATCAGTCAACCAGCATAACATCGTACAACAATGTCATTATGCTAAAAATGTCCTTTTTTTTTGTATTCCACTCTATAAATAGAATTTTATTTATGGCTTTATTAACAGAGTAACAAGAAAATTAAAGCATGTTAAATTTAATTCAATGGAAAAATATTTTGTCTGGAATTAAAAAAGCATTACCTAAATCTGTGGCTTACATGCTACTTATACTGTTACATGTAGAAGTTTTTTTTTTTATTAAAATGAACAATTAACATTAATCATTTATCAAATAAAATCAATTATTTGAAAAAACCATAATTTTGAATGTTTTCCATTTCAGCTACTGTGATATTTAATATTTTATTATTAATATGCTCATCTTCTGGATGTTTGGCGTCAATCTTGTTAATTATTGGTCTAAGGAAGGTAAGATTAATCTGAAATTAAGAATCACTTGCTTTATAAATTTAATAGTCAAATCTTTGTATTACGCTTTCAGGTAGGTAAGGTCTCAGATAGACATGCAAATTTTTAATCTTGCAACTGTTTGATTGCTTATTAGTGTTTATATTCCAATTTGTATATATATATGGAACTGTATGATTGCATACAATAGTAATCAAACATCTTGCAATGTTTTACAATGCAGTTTATTTGAATTGACGCAATTGTTTAATTGCGTTGATCTGCCCGTAACAAGCAGTAATTGTAAAACTAAAAATTTCAAGTCTCTCTGAACATCAATTTCAATTTAAAAAGAAATGAGAGTATAGCTAATTTTATTTGGATCAACTATGTGACGTGTGTTTTCTCTCGAGTCTTTTGGGTACACTTTTTTTTCTAAATAGAGGCCTCGGCTATATATAGGTTACAGTTCCATCTAACCATTGTACTGTCAATACTTTCGTGTTAAATTTCAATAACAAACTACATAATTTATTCAAAACTTTAATACTATATATACAACCGTTTCGATTACACTTTTGATAGTGCATGGTTGAAGAACCAATTATATTTCAGAATTGAATTGAGTTACTTATATCTTTGCGGACAAAAGATTTTATTACATCAAGGTAAAGCATATATAACAATCCTAAAATGCTTAAAAATTAAAATGCCCAAATAAGTTACTGAAAAAATTCCAAACTCTTATGACTGAACAAAAAAACTCACCTTTTATTACTCTCTCCATTCTTTTATAACAAGATTACGATAAATCATAGCGCATTTGTTGAAGCATTCAATTTTTATAAAACATTCAATCAAATTTTAAAATTATCTATTGAATGACATTCCGTAATAATATTATTTCTACAATATTTAATATTGTGTTACCCTATAATTTGTGTATTCATACATACAGTATGAATACACAAATTGGTATGATACAACAATTTTTTATTCAATTACAATTCAATCAATTAAAACAATCAATTTTTTTCTATTAATAACTTTTTACATTTATATTTTTTTTGTTTTTCTATTTTCAGGATATTAGATGCTTTTTAATACCATGGATTTTAGTTTTATTATCAGATTTATTTTTAGAATTAGCGCATTTTATATTTTTAATAGTTATTGAAACAATGGAATTTAAACCAGTTTTAGCAACGATATTTACAATAGACTTTTTTATTATGTGCTTAAATGTAAGTATTTACATCGTATGATTTAGAAATTTTTAGATTAAATTAGAAATATAAGTATAAAAATTTTATATTTTGGTGGAAAATCCTAAAAATATCTATGGTTTATAGAATTCACAATGTGGTTTTTATGAATTCAAAAAATCTGATACAATTATTGAAATTTTATTAAAAATTTTATTAGAATTTTAAAAATAGTGAACACGAAAATTAATTAACTAAAAATTTATTTTTAAAAAATTCAAATTTATTTAAATATTCCAAGAATAATGTACTTAACTACTATAATTAATATCGAGGATGACCAAATGCCACAATTGTAATTATTACTTTACTTATTTAAGAAGGAATATATTTACATATTGATTGTGAGACACAAGATCTTGTAAATTTTGGTGCAAAAATCATCGAAATTCAAATTTGAGCTTTTGAATCTCTATTCCTATGAAAATAATCAAAAGATTAGGAAATTGTGTCTATCTAAAACGCGATTTTCATGAAAATTAGCGAAATATTAGACCTTTCGCTTCCTAAAACAATATTCTTATTGATCTATTAGCGAAATATTAAAATAATGTCTGTCTGGAAGGGAATTTTTGTGAAAATAATATGGAAATAGTAGAAATTGGCCTGCCTGGAACAGCATTTTTATAGAAATTTAGCGAAATATTAGAATTATTTATGTTTGAAATTTTATTTCTATGAAAATCATTCAAGAAGAATTTCGTCAGTCTATTTAGAGAAAAATAATCAATGATTGGAATCATGTCTATCTGAAAATTTATTTATTGTCTATGCAAAAGTATTCAAAAGTATATAATTATACTTATATTCTTTATAGTTTATCTTTAAATTTTTTCCTTCCCAAAATAGAATCCATGATTCTTTTTCCTATAACTCTGTACAAATTCATTTTTCATTATTTAGACACAAATATTCTCCTAGTTGCTTTCAGTTATAGTATATCCTTATATATGATTATAACATTTTCAATTTCCGTCTTAAATTTTTTAATGAATCAACCAATTTCCGTTTTATCATACAAAGTTTTCGTATTAAATCAAAAAATTTTATTGTATACAATTCAAATATAAAGTTTTCCAAGTTTCTCATATCTAGACAAATATAGTGAAATCAAAAAGGATATCGTTTAAATAATTTTAAATTATTTTAAGTAAAACTGATATAAAACTCAGATTCTTTTATTATAATGTACTTGTAAGTTTTGTAACAACTTTGCAAAATATTTTAATATGAAAAACTTTTCATATTATTGCATTTTGTGTTCATGTTGAGTTGAAAATCATTTTAAAGGGTTTAGTTTCAAATTTTGATGGATTTTAGATGTAATAATAATATAAAAATAAAATATTTTATAATGATTTGGAAAATCTGAGTTAAAACAATCAAGCGCACACATATAAAATATTTATATGTGCAAACAGACATAAGGACTAATTGTTGCAAACGCTGAATTTTTTAACAAAAAATTTTTAAGAACTTTATACGTTGAACTTATTTTACTTAAGAGCAATATAGAATCAATTTGTAAAATTTTGTATGAAGAAGTGCAAATTTGCAAAGCAAATCAATAAAAAGATTCAATGTTAGGATGCTGTACTATGATTCCAAGCGTTATGGATTTTCTTAAACTCACGTAATATCATTGAGTTTTTTCAATCATAGGAAAATTTTATTGCAATTTTTTTTCTGAAATTCCTAATCCTAATAGAGTGCTACTAAAATTTTAGCAAATAGATTAAATGTTAACTGTTAACTGTTAAAGAGCGAGACATTTTAAATTTCATATACCATAAGTATGTAGAGTCAAAGTTTTAAAATTTTCTAATTTCTGGAGTGAATGTTGTTATCGCAGTCGAAAACTATAAAAATTTATTTTAAATTGAGAATTTTATAACCAGTGTCAGTATCGAATTCAAAATTGGAAAAAACTGAATTAAAAATCGAGTCTGCAACTGTAAGCTTTTCTCTTTTCGCTTTGCAATTAATGAAAAATATCTTTTTTAAATGAAAAATTATGGCGATTTTTCATATTTATTTCTCTTAATATTGCTTTCACAATTATATCAATTTCTTATTTATAGCCCATATACTTAATCCTAGTGAATATTTTTTATAAAAAATCAAATTTTTGTTGGATACGAGTAGCAATATTCAACATCTCATCGAATTAATGCAACAGGACTCTTCACCGTTCAAGCATTTACTAATTGAATTAAACATGAAATTCATTGTACAACAATATTATTGAATTTAAGTAAGCAAATATCAATATATTTCATAGGCGAATATTATTGGAAATACAATTTTTTTAATTATTCCAATACAATTGCAACACAAAAATGAAAGATTTCTATATGAGATATTTTTTGTAATTTCTAGGTAACACTTAACTATTACACTTCAAATTTTTTGAATTTATTTGTAAAATACGATAACACAACTGCAGAGATAGGTTCAGCATACATTGAATGTAGTAATAAGCGAACATACACGTCCTCTTTTGAAAAATTATTTTAAATATTTGTAGCTACTATCTACGATAAATTTCTCATATTGGTATTATTCTATATTGTATGTATGCATTTAATTTCTTAAATACCACAAATTTCTGACTATAACATAACTTCGGCTAAAATATAAAATTTTTCCGCAAATCTCTCTTAACATAACCTTCTAATACTTTAATCATTACAATTTCTTTAAAACATGTAAACTATCATCTATCTCAATTCCAAAAATTATTACATTTTAATCGGACAGTTTCAAATATTTTGTAAACTTTTAAATCTATTTTACGTAAAAATATTGTATTTCAACTTTTCGTCCTGTTATCCTTATTATATAAACGATAACATATTGGATAATATTTTATAGAATTAAATCCTTTTGACGTAAAACATTTTTCTACATCATTCTATGTTACATTTTAAATTTAATATTAAAGAAAATTTAAATTGTTGAGAATTTTTCACATTTCCATAGAGAAAATATCGTTTTCCAAATGAATTAATTTCAGGAAAGAAATTTTTTTTTTTGATTTGGTAAAAATGAAAAATTTTTATTTAAAGGTTTATTTTATTTTTGTTTTTCTTAATAAATTAACAAGTAAAAAACTGAATAGAAGAATACCCTTGAGGGTCTTTATTTACGCAATATAAAATCAAATAATAATTATTCTATTTTAGCATAAATATTTTATCAAATCCTTGAAATCAAAAAAAAAATGTCATCAAAATTTATAATGTTGCCCTCAAAAATTGTGATTATTTTAATATACCCTACACTTTAAAGAAGGTTATAATAATTTTGTTATGAAGTTTTTAACCACGTCTCGTCTACCCACGGTATGAATTTGCTTATGTATGTATACAGTATCAGATCTGAGTCATCATATGCAGTTAGCACCATAAAAAAGGAGCGCAGTTATTATATGCAATGGAGAATATTTATTTCATATTGTTCATTGCTTTAAATGCGAACCACACAGAACCGGGTCTGTGTGTGTATACATTCATCCTCAGCGTAAAAATTCAGCTCTGCGATTAAAGCATGCCCGTCCGTTCTATCGCACAATAACTCCAAAAACGAATAAAGCAAATATTCCTGAAAAATTTTATCTGGCTAGAAAGGCTGCTATTACTGATTTTTTTATATATTTTAAAAAATAATAGAGATATTAAATGATGAAATTTTTGTAAATTTGCGTCCAACTGAATCTTTTCATATAACAGATTTCGAAAATTTTAATGGAATATCGTAACGTTTTCGGGTATGTGCATTGGCAATCATTTATCTAATTATAGCTGAAATTTGTCCTTGAGTTCTTGTGGAATGGCTTGATACATCTTAACTGTATTAACCTACAAATTATCATTATTATTAAGTGACACATTTTAACTGTATTAACAAACAAACTTACAGATTGTCAAGCTGTAGGGTATAATTCAATCGGTTAAGTTAGACTGAAACATTTTTACTTGTTTATATTTAAACTAAAAAAAAGTTATTTAATGTTTTGAAATGCAAGGTTTATAAAAGATCAAATTTCGTTTTAACAATTTAAATCTATATTAACTTGTATTTATTAAGATTGCTGTTCACTTAATTAAAACAATATTCTAACTAAGGAAATAAATTTCGTATTGCCATTATGCATAAATTTAGAAAGAAATTTGATGTACTTAAATTTTGGGAATTATAATCAAGAAGAGCTAGGAAAAGATAAGAAGATACAAAGAAATGTTCGGAATAGCAAATTAAATATATTAACAATTTTAAAAAGGTGATGAGTTCAAAAATTTTGAACTCATCCGAGTTGCAATGTGGAAAACAAACGAGTCCAAAAATTAAATAAAAAAATACTTTCATGAATCCAAGGGCAATTCCAAATATCCTGATATTTGCTTAAGATTTTTTAAATTAACTGAATAAAATTTCGACGAATTTATAAAATGGCTATTGTTTAGAAACAGTATGTGACCAAAAACAATAGCCATTTTATATTTTCACGAAATTAAAAATTTCTTTAAAAATTTAAATTTCTAGAGTAGGTGGCCAGAAAATAATGTTCTATATGGAAATAATATTTCCTTAATTCTAATATAATTTTTCAAATCCCTCTCTCCAAGATTGTGTAAGTTTTGTACGAAAAAATTGACTTATTAGCTAATAGAATCAAAGTAATAAGGACATTTTTTTTGCAAAAATTTTTTATAAAATATGCTAAAAAATAAAGCAGACTTTATTTCTATAGAATTCGGTTAAAAATAAAAATGTATGTATATACAATATGGTAGGTATACAGTGTACCATATGGGGGCTATGAAAAATTTAAATATACAAGTGATTTTAAAGTCAAGTATTCGGAAATTGTTTCTTTATGCAAAAATGAAAAATTTTTTTACTTCCTTTTCCATTTTTTTGTTTTTTTTTTTTTCTTTTATATATTTAACATTATTTTCAATTGAATACTTATCGATTTTTTCTGATTGTGTTATTTTTTGTTTTCTCTCCTTTTTTTACAGATTTATTGCTTGTTATGTGTGATATCGCAATATCAGGAATATAAATGTGGCAGAGGATACAGGAAAAAGCAATCAAAAGTATGTACACCTATATATACCAATACATATATAATATACGAACATAAATATATTGTGGGAAAACTTAAAAAAAATTAACAATTTTGTAAAATTTGTTAGAATTTTCATGATGTTAAGAATCGTGCACCATATGTTTGCACTAAAATACTTGATATTTGTAAATGGGTGCAAAAGTGGAAAAAAACATGTTAAACTATTTAAATATTCAAGTGATTCATATTGTGAATTATAGGTTTTGAAAGGAAATGTGTGGTATGGTATAGGAATATTTATTTACGATATATAGGACTACAAACAGTAAAATATCCTTTTATATAGATTCAAATAAGCATTCATGAATAAGAATAAAAATAATACAAAAAATTATTACGATATTTATTGATTTTAAGGGAAGCCAAATGCAAGTACATAATTTCAGTATGATTCAGTTGAGAGCAATCTCAAAATATACCCTCTGAACTCTGACTATACTGAGTAAGTAAACTGTACAAAATTTATGTATTATAATAAAGGAAGACCATATTGAAAAACTTGAGTTATGACAAAATGCGTTCCGCATTCTTATTATTCCAATAAAAATAAGAAATGGAAACAAAAAAATTTCTTAAATTTTATAGTTGTAATGGTGAATTTTATAAAAAAAATTCAATATTTTTCCACCTCCTGAACAAAATTTATTGGAATTTTAAAAAAAAAAATATTTTTTTGTATTCACAATATGAAAATTTTACCAAAATTCTTTGGAAAAACAAAAAATGTATTTATTTTCTTTTGCCGGATTTTGTAAAATTTAAACAAAAATATTTTGATTTCCGATGAAAACTGAAGAAAAAGGCAAAAAATATTTATATACATACTAATTTGTTAAATATTAATGGAACATGTTATATGGGATTGAATAAATTGATGAGTTCTGTGTACGAATGTTGAAGAATATTGAATTCAATTAAGGAAGCTATCATTAAATTGAAATATTTCAAATCTTATGTATAAATATTACAGTACCGACAGAAAATCAATTTAAAAACACTCTCCATTTCCGTCTCCAGAGCTATATTTTTTAGTAATAGAAAAATTCCTAACTATAAATTTGAAATTTTAGTAATTAAATTTAGGAATATTATAGCGAAGATGCGCCGAAATACCATCAAACCATAAATAATGTTATGAAGCGCACTTGTGCAAGGTATTCCAAGCTTTCGTTTGAAATCTAAAATAATCTGATAACTTAAATGATGGAAGTAATGTAAGATTTGAAAAATAATATTTAATATTCAATTTTTGCTTGTCCCTTTTGACATTTCAATGAGTTGATCGCCAAAAACGGCATAGATAAGATAAACAGCAAAAAATGTCTTACTGTCCTAAGTTACAGTTCTCATATTCAAAACTAATAACATACTTTTGTGTTGTTAATAAGAAAGGAATCAGAGTGGAGGCAATTTTGAGCGCTGGAGAAGTGTTCTGAGGTTGCGGCAAGCTAAAGAGCTTCTTGGAGATTATGACCGGAAGCGTTTTAAGAAGGGTATATTCAAAGGCACTTTCAGATTCTGTGGGGTGGATGAAAAGACCTCAGTCCATCTTCTGAGGGAAAGTGATGTTCCCACCCATAAGGGAAGGGGAATACTGCGGGGGTTTTGCTTTCACGACAACGGAAAAACGGTTTTCTAGGCCTCATAATTTGCTTGAACTTATCAGGACAGTGGGTCTTGAGCGTGTATTGCAGAGCATACCTGGTACTCAGGGGTGTGAGGAGGGAGGACAATATATTCTTATACGTGGTCGCAATGCACTGTTACTCCGCTTGTACAAATCTGAAATCTTCATGTTGTTGATATCTTCAATTAAAATTACCTGCATTATTTTAATCTTCTAATCATTTCTAATTCAATTTTATTCTGTTCTCTCTATTTATAGCTTTTAGAAATTAATGATACATATATACTACCTCAAGCATCAGCCAATGGAGACTGTCTATCAAATATAAATAAAAGAAAAGAATCAATAAGTCCAAAAAATTCTAAGCATACAAATTTTCCAATAATACCAGAAGAACCATCCCAAGCAACAGACCAGAGTAAGTTAAAATTGAAAATATTTTAAAGAATTTCAAACCAAAAAACATTTACTTCCCCAAACCTCCAAACTCCTTACAATCCAAAATTTCTTATATTTCATTATTATTTAAAAATTTATAAATTCTTTTTTCAAATATGATTCCAGATTATGATGAAGAAGGTTTCATAACAATATGTAATAGTAAACCAAATAAAGATGATGAACAAATAAATGTTATAATATGTAGTCCAACAACATCATCAAGTAAGAAGCAAGTACAATTTAGAGGATTAATAATTGATTCATGTAAAAATTTCACTTTTGGTAATAATAATCATCATCATCAACAACATCATCATGAAAATTCAACAACAGAATGTAGTAAAATTTAATAACATACATATGTATATGTACATGTACAGTGTTATAAATTTTTATGTATACAATACTGCACAAATTGTGTATAATAATCTACGGGAAAGAAAATAATAATAAATTATTTGTGATGTGAATTTTTTTGATAGATGGTTATTACCATTTTAGGTGAGAAGAAAATAGAAATAGAAAAAAAAAATTAAGTATAATTTAAGAACTGAAAAATTTTTTTTTAAATTTTATTAAATATCTATGAGTGAGGAGTTCAAAGCAAAGGATAATAAATTTTTGTTCTGTCAAATTAATATTCTCAAAATGGATCATATATTATTTAGGTAATGATTTGTGAAATTTAATTGGCTTATAAAAACACTTGGCATAAGACGCAATGTCTTGATTATTAAAAAATCAATACTTGAGTCAAATACTATACCTTAATATTATTAAATTGTTACTGCATTAGCTCGGTATATGTTGACCTTACCATTAACCTTTAATATTATTAAATTAGTGCTGCATAAGCTCGGTATTTGCTAATCATATAATGAAATTATGTATTAACAGCATTGTTTTCCAATTTCAACCACGTTCCAGATGTGATTCTATTTATAAACTTATATATGTAACCTTAAAGATTTCTTAGAATATTATTAAAATTAGCCCAAAATTTTTCCGGAAATCGAGTATAATAACTTTCATTCATTTTGACTCTAATTATATGCCATTATACGCTTAAAAGCTTTACAATAGACTAACAAAAGAGGGATTCTTTAAAATTTTTTAATTCTCGACAGCCAAGAAGAAAGTTTATTAAAACGTTAATCGATAACGTGGTAGTAGTAAATTTTACACCTTCCGCTTTTCTTTTGCAATTGTTGCTTCCCTATATTTCCCTCTCACATTACTATTTACTATATTTTCCTCTCACATATTCCGTTACTCAATACATGATCCGTTACTCAATACATGCTCTGTTACTCAGTATCGTGTGTAAAAGTATCTGTTACTCAGTATTGTGGAGAAGTTGGCAAGAGGGGTTTAATAATTACTATCAGCCTCGTATTTTTAAGCTTTATAAATTGGTATGCAATTTTCGAACATAAAACTTAAAAATTTAGATTAAATTTAAGGGAAAAAATTAAAAATTGAATCTTATTTTGCAATTTGAAAATAAATCTACGCCTCATATTCACATTACTCAAAAAAATTTATAGTAGTAAATGAAATTTTAACAAGATTTTGTTTTTATATAAATAATTTGATTCTGCACAAAATAAAGTTGGGTCAAACCAATGGTTTGTATTGTAGCACTTTTCCCTTCAACAAATGAAAATTTTGCTTTTAAATACAGTCTATGTAGTCTATGTACCTATCACACTATTAAAATTATTTTCATTCATATACAAAACTATTTCTAGGGTTGCATATATTTAGGATGAATGATTTATGCAGTCTTTGAAATAAAGCAAAAATTAATATAAAGTGGGGTTAACATAATGCTCGATTTTAAGGTTTAATTTTGTGAGTTAAGAAAAATAATTATATTTTTTAATTTCATGGAATTTACCGTTAACTTTCTGCGTTAATAGAAATTTGAAAAAGCTTGCGGTTTCGGAAATATAAGGTGTCAAAAATTCAAATTTTACAAATTTCAAGAGGCGATAACTTGAGAGGGGGTGGAGATGGAAAAAAATTTTCTTCTATCGAAATAAACTATTTGATAATGTCTAAAAGCTACTAAAATTTCAAGCTTCTACAGGCTGTAGTTTGGAAAAAAAACGACATCAAAAATTTGCAAAAAACGGACTTTAGATAACGGTAAATTTGAACGGCCATTTTGTTTTTCTAAAGTTCAAATATAGTATGCCGCGCTAGGGGAAGCAAGCCGCTGCTTTTCTGCGTTTGTAAAATTTCAAAAATGCTTATGGTTTCATTGCAACAAATAGTTAAAAAAGGCCATTTTTAGGGTTTTGGGGGGGTATAACTTCTAGAGGGGAGGAGATAGGTAAAAATTTTGTTCTACAGAAATATGTTTCTAGTAAAGATCTATGTACATATAAAATTTCAGCTTTCTATCTTCAAGGGTGTAGAAGTTTTGTAAACAGACACACGGACCGACGGACGGACGGACGGACGGACAGAGTGAAACTAATAAGCACTTTTTTTCAAAAAATTTTTGGAAAAGTGCTAAAAAACAAGAAAATTTTTACTGCTCGTAGACCTTCATTTATTATTTTCTACTTGAAATCTTAATATTAAATAAATCAAATTTTTATCACATTATATTTGGGACAAAAATACTATTTGTTATCCGTAATCCTAACAAAAATTATATAATCAATCTTATATATAAATATCATTGAAATTTTGATTTATTTTAAAATCTAATATATTTATAGCTTATTTTATATACATAAAAATTAAATGAAGAAGAAACTTATATGCTTTTTTTTAAAGGAATTTCTGGGAATCTATATGATTTAACTTTTCAATTTATTTGTAACAAAATTTAAATGATCTATGCAAACACAATATTATTGGTATATAGGGTGTATGTGTGTTCTAAATTGTTCGCATACATCTCAATTTTTAAGATGAGAAGATAATAGAGTTTTCAGTACAATGTATTTTGTGATATATACAGTGTAATGATTTCAAGCAATTCATTTCCACGCCATATTCGCAAATAATCTCTGTTGCAAGGCAGGAGTGCAATACATATTTGTACTTTAAATTTTCATTGTTTCGAAGAGACAATTGCAAAATATTTTCCAAAAATAATTTGATCGTGAAAGGATTATTTTTAATGTAAAGTCATTCTTAAAATTTCTCATACATAAGCATTTTCTTCATACTTATTAAATTTTTATGTTATGATTGAAGTTTAACTCCTCTATATTGAAAATTTTACAAAAGACCTCCTCTTTCTTTGCGGAAATAGCTTTCTAGCAAAGACCTATTTGTATATTTCAGTTTTCTATCTATAATAGTGTAGGAATTTTATAAAATGAATAGAGCGAAACTAACCGGACGAATACAGCGAAACTAACAAGCATCTTTTCACTTCCAATTTTTTTTTTTGGAAGAAGCTCTAATAATCAATCATATATTGAGAAACTAATTGAATTGTTTATGTTGTGACTTAATAAATAGAGCAGAATTTGAATTATATTAAATCATGGAACACTAGATAATTCTTAAGAAATTTTCATATGATCCCCCAAAAGTATGCAATTTTTTTTCAAATTTAATTTTTTATAAATTAAATTGTATAGCCGAAATAAAATAAAACATTGAAAAAAAAAAAAAAAAAAAAAATTGTATAGCTAACTACGTAAATATTGAAAAAACCAAATTGACTCTGTTATCTGAGATTGTAATTAATATTAGATGCAAGTAAATACATAAATTCTGCAAAAATTTAGCAAATAAAATGCTATTTAAAATTTAGAAATCACTGTAATTCAAAATCTAATAGACATATAACAAATTCACTTTAATAATCAGGACATCTGATGTAATACCGTGTTCGATTTATCTCATAAATCTACATACATACAAATTTTGCATACAGTGCTAACCTATCCTATACCTCAAAAGGTCTCTTTTCCTTTGAGTTTTTTTTTTTGCATTTACAAAGCATTAAAAAATATTAGCATATTTCGCTAACATGTTCATGAACGTGTTATTAGGGTGTGTTTATTAAATTTTCTTTTTTTTGTTTTTTAAATTTTTCTATTGAGGATGCTATATTTTACTGCTAGAAATATTTTTTATATTAATTTCCTTCCCGTATATTTGAAAATTCATGTACATATATGTGCGTTTGTAGAAAAGTAATTTATTTTATCCCTGAAAAATTTTTCGAAAAAAAAACGGTGTAATTGAAGAGAAATAAATGAATTTCATTTTTTTTTTTACACTTTCACTGTCACTCCCCTAAAATTGAAATTTTTTCAATGAACATTGTTGTAATATGTGCAATAGAGACTTCAAACATGGAAATGTATTTTGAGAAAATTTTTATTTAAAATTTTATAAAATTGGAACACAACTTATATGGAAGGGGTTACATAACTGGAATCTAAATATGAGAAAACACTATTATTAAAATAAATGTTGTTGTTCCATGAGACCCGTTCAAAATGAAATTTTTAAAGATTTTACACTTTTAAATCGAATCAACTCAAAACATAAATAGTATTAGAATCTTCTTGTTATAGAAGAACTAAAGGCTACTTAAAATATCAATTTTTAAAATAATCTACGAAACGGAATTAAGATACAAATGTAAAGTTAAATATGCCAACTCACCTATTCCTCTTATAGAAACGATGTTGTTTTCTATATCCCAATAATTTTGCAAAGTCATTTCATATAAGTTGTTAAACACATATAAGAAATAGTTTTAGATAACAAAATTTTATAGTTATTTAATACCCACCTCTACAACTCGTCATTCTTCAAATTTTCTTAATACAACCCACACGTCTGTGTCTAGTTTTACCATTTTAATAATGTACTTTTAAAAAATTCACTCACTGGTACATGTTTAGCATATTTTTAGCATATTTATTTTTTCAACAAACAATTTTTTTTTCATTTGTAAAGTCAGCAAATTTTGAATCTTTATTAATATTTCTTGGAAAATTTAGAATAGAAAAAATTAACCTTAATCAACAGTTTCTTTTAACATTTTACATTTTGCACTTTTATAAAAAAAGCAAACATACATGCTCTTAATTTATGAAAAATTTGATTATAATTAAGTGCAGCATAAATCAGTTTTTGCTCTATTTTATTGGTCAAATAAAGGTTACTTTTCTTACCATTTCCAAAGATTAGTATACCATTGCTATAACTATTTACCCTATATAATCATACTCATACACAATATAGTTCAACTATTTAACTGATTCGCATTATTTGATTTTGTGAATTCTAGGCAA